GTTCCGGACGGGCGTCTGTGTGGAGAGGGTGTCCTTGCCCCCCGCGTCTACGCGGCCAGCTCCGGAGCCTCCCGACTTGCGGGTGCCTTTTTGCACAGAAGTGTCTTTTAATGGGCAGAGATCCTGGACCGTTGGGGTATGTATGGTGGTGTTTTCAAATCCTCGTGCCGCCACCGATCAGCCCTGGGGCCTTGGGTCCAAGTGTCCAGCTTTGTTCATGGGAATAATAATAATGCGTAACTTCACAGGTTTGTGGTGAGGACAGACTAGAAAGATGTGCGAGGCCGAACAGCAGGTGACCGGTAAAGGGTAGGCTGTTCGGAGCACCCCAGGTGCAGCATCTGGTCAGCTGTTGCTGGTGCCTGGCCGCGCGGGTGCGCTGGGAGGGCACCTTATTTCAGAAGCGCTCGGGTGTTGCAGGAACCTCCGCGGGATTGTTTGATGTTGGAGCGGCATTGGAATCCGCTGGCCTCACCCTAGAACCCTGTCGTCTTTTGCTTCGGTTGCCCTGGAATACCTGTCTCGTGTACCGAGTGGGGAATCGTTGCTGGAATAAAAGCCCAGCGAGTTTAGGATTCGCTTAAGGATGGAAGATGGCGGGACACACAAACTTGAAGTGCTTCGCTGTTTAAATAATCTTAAGTGACACTTAAACTCTGTCACTTGTTACAGAGTATAAACACACGAAGAATATGGAAACAGACTGGGTTTTTTTCTTCCTCCATTGCTACATCCGAAGGGAGTGACAAGTGCTTTTGTAAACATCGTCGTGGGCAGTGTTACCGTCCCGGTGAAGTCATCATAATTAAATTAGATGAGTACTTATTTTGAAGCGCTGCATGAATGTGTGGAAAGATGATTCCTAAGTAAAGCATCTCCAGCGAGTCAGAATTCTCAGCAGTTCATTAATCATTTGGGGGTTTTTATGCGATGCTCTAAGATGTTTATGGCAAAAAGCAGAACTGTGTACTGTAAGTCATGATAATGTAGCATAGGAGGGGGTGTTCAGGTTACAAATCTTCACCTAGTTTCAGGAGGCAAATGTGCAAGAAAGTAAAACTCTTAAGCTTAAAAACTGGACTTGTACTCACTAAAGCAAAAATGACCAAAAACAAAGAACTTTTGTTTTACATCCCTGTTTCACACTCTGATGAGGGTCTTCTACCTTCGGGTTGTTTTTTTAGAAGTGGAGAAAATTGAGTTGGGTTTATTGCCGTTTTGCACCTCTTGTCTATATTTCCTGCTTTTCCTAGCGACTCATTCATAAAGACTTTGGATCCAAGCTGCTTTGTGAAATGTGAACAAAATACATAGAAAATAATTAAAAATGAGCTTTATAATATAAAAAAAGAAAAAAAGAAATAAACTACAATAAAAACAATCACAAAAAGTCAAACATTTGGAGGTGAAATACTATGTTATTAAACAATGACTAGGTTACCAAATAGATCAAAGTAGAAATAAAAAACATCCTGGAAACAAATGACAGTGAAAACACAACAATCCAAAATCTATGGGACACAGTGAAAGCAGTCCGAGAGGGAAGAAGTTTATAGCTTTACAGGCCTACCTCAAAAAATAAGAACAACTGGTAATAAATTATCTGATTCTACAACTTAAAGAAGTAGAAAGAGAGCAACAAGAAAATCCAAGAATGAGCAGAAGGAAGGAAATAATAAAGATTAGAGCAGAAATAAATGACATAGAGACAAAAAAATACAAAAGATCAATGAAACCAAGAACTGGTTCTTTGAAAGGATAAACAAGATTGATGAACCTCTAGCCAGGCTCACCAAGAAGCAAAGAGAGAGGACCCAAATAAATAAAATCAGAAATGAAAGATGCAAAATAACAACAGACCCCACAGAAATACAAAGAATTGTTTAAAAATAATAATAATACTATGAACAGCTCTATTCCAACAAATTGTTCAACCTAGAAAAATTGGACATATTCCTAGCAAAATATGACCTTCCAAAACTAAATCAGGAACAATAAAAACATCTGACTAAGCTGATAACTATGCAGGAAATTGAAGCAGTCATCAAAAAACATCCAGCAAACAAAAGTCCTGGGCCAACGGCTTCACAGGGTAGTTTTTACCAAATGTTAAAAGAATAACTAAAACCTATCCTCCTCATACTATTCCAAAAAATTCAAGAGGAAGGAACACTTCCAAGCTCTTTCTATAAAACCAGCAATACCTTAATCTAAAAACCAGATAAAAACACTAAAAATAAAGAAAATTACAGGTCAATATCTTGGATGAACATAGATGCTAAAATCCTCTAACAAAATCCTAGCAAATCAGATCCAGCATTACATTAGAAAAGTCATACACGATGACCAACTGGGATTTATTCCAGGGATACAAGGATGGTACAATATCCACAAATCAATAAACGTGATACAGCACATAAACAAACTGAGAGACAAAAATCACATAATCATGTCAATTGATGCAGAAAAAGGATTTGACAAAATCCAACACCCTTTCTTGATAAAAACTCTCAGCAAAGTGGGATTAGAGGGATCATACCTCAACATAATAAAAGCCTTATATGACAAATCTACAGCCAACATCATACTTGATGGGCAAAAACTAAAACCATTTCCCCTAAGAACAGGAACAAGAGAGGAATGCCCACTTTCAACCAGCTGTTCAACATAGTACTGGAAGTGCTAGCCATAGCGATCAGATAAGAAGAAGAAATAAAAGGCATCAAAATTGGAAAAGAAGTAAAACTGTCATTATTTGCAGATGACATGATATTCTACATAGAAAACCCCAAAGACTCCATTAAAAATTACTAGATTTAATAAATGAATTTAGCAATGTAGCAGGATACAAAATAAACACCCAGAAATCTATGGCTTTTTTATACACCTATAATGAACTCACAGAAAGAGAAACTAAAAAAAAAACAATCCCATTTACCATTGTACCCCCCAAAATTAAGAAACCTAGGAATAAACTTAACTAAGGAGGTAAAAGACCTGTACTTAGAAAACTGGAGGACATTGCAAAAGTGATAGAGGAAGACATAAACAAATGGAAGAACATACCATGTTCATGGATTGGTAGAATCAACATCATCAAAATGTCCATACTACCCAAAGCAATCAATAGATTCAATGAAATCCCCCTTAAAATACCAATGGCATATTTCACAGACCAAGAACAAATTCTCCAAAAATGTATATGGAATTTTAAAAAAGACCCCAAACAGCCCCAGCAATTTTGAAAAAGAAGAACAAAGTTGAAGGGATCACAATACAAGATATCACGCTGTATTACAAAGCCATGGTTCTCAAAACTGCCTGGTACTGGCACAAGAACAGTCACACACTGAGTGACCAGATTATTATGACCACCTGATGTTTGTAGGCAAATTAGCCGTACACTGCATCGTATGGGATATGGAAGCCGAAGGCCTATTTGAACACCTTTGCTGTCTGCAGTTACCAAGATAA